AAGAATATTTTTTTAAATATATTTCAAAAAATATTTTTCTTCCATATGGGCACTAACTGGAGGCTGGCAGTGTATTTGGGTGGTACGTGCAGTAATTAGTAATACTTAGTAATACTTAAAGCAAAAGTTAAATTCCATAAAGGCTGAGATTGGTTGGTGATACACAATTCTATTAAAAAAATTATGCTTCTGTAGCCTCTGTTAGTACAGATCACAAAATTAAATTGCGAGTATATTCTGGCAGTAGCTGCAAAAAAAAAAAAAAGAGAGGGAACAAAAAAGAAAATTGTTGCAGCTTCTGGTAGAATCAGATCACGGAAAAATTATTTGTCGCGTTTTGTAGCATTAAGTACAACTGGGTCTTACAGTAGTTCAAATAGAATCCACTCCTACTGATTCCTGTAAGCAAACCAGGACTTCAGCCTTCAAGCTGACAAGGGATTATGGCAGAAGCATACACAGCAAAGGAGATCATACATTCAGAAACAACCTGGTGGTTTAAATTTAGCCTTTCAATATATTTACATAAAGTAGATGCTTTCTGGAAGTGGATACCTTTATGGAAAGCTGAAGTAAAACTTCAATCATCCCTGGCTCTGACTTATTGCAAATTCATCTTTGGTGATATAATTGCCATATATCTACAAGGATGTCAGAATGCAGGTTTTTCTGCATGGCTGACTTGAGTTACAGGCAGTTTGCATAAATCTTTAGAGACACTGAGGGCTGTAGAATCCCTTCCATACCTATGGGGCATTATAAAAAGGGTTCCAAAGGTATAGATAGCTTGCTGTGCCTGCCCAATGAACACATGAATGTTACCACAGTAACTAAGCAGCTACAAAGACATTCTGTGAGAACTAAGCCTGAGGTGTGTGGTGTTGTGATGTTCCAGCATGGAGATGGCTTTGGGGAAAGTGGAATACTCATTATGCATAAAATGAGGCCATTATCACACTTTCATATGCAAAATTAGCTTTGCTGAGACTTGTACTTTTACTGTAGCAACACAGCGAATGGCACTGTGTGCACTTTGTATGTGTTCATCTGTTTTCCAGGATTGGGAGGAGGATTAAGAACAGAACCTTGTATATAGTTCATTCAAGATCAAGAAATGTTGACATATGACCTCATTTGACATATCACTTGTTATAATAAGTATATATTTATTTAGTTAATTATTTTAAGTAGAACCCTAGTCTGTACACCATGCTATTCATCACATGCATGTGGACTCCCCCAGTGTGAACACTGTGCTGTACATCATAAACTGCAGGCAACCCATGTCTATATAGTGCCATATGTTATAGAACTAAGACTGCCAAAACTATACACTGTGCCACAAGTCAAGCACTGCTGTAATCTGTATATAGTGCAGTATGTTACATATCATGGTATGCTATGATAAATCTTACATAGTCTGGATGACACCAGTCAGTACACTGTGCTGTATGTCACATACTCCAAACTGTCTCACTAGTGTACATCATATATTCCAGAGAGCCCTGCTCTGTAAGTGACACACTCCATTCAAGTTTATACACTCTGTTAAATGTTACATTCTAAAAGATCATTCCAGTCTGTACACTGTGCTGTACCCCATATAATACAAATGTACCCCTGTTTGTTTTATGTTCTATATGTCACATACTGTGAAGGACACTACTTTGTACTCATACTGTACATTCTGTGTACTGCCCAATTCTGTACATCCTGCTGCACAACACATACCACTGTCAACCTAGTTTGTCCATTGTGTTGTATGATGCATACTCCAGACCTCCCAACCTGTACCATGTTCTAAATGCTACATAAAATGCACTGCCCTACCTTAGTCTGTAAATTGTGCTGCACTTTACATATAATAGGTACCAACGATCTGTTTACCATGCTGTACATCACCTACTATGGGTCATTCCAGTCTCTACATTCTGCCTTTGCCACCTACTCCAGACTGCCCAAGTCTGTATGGTGTGCTCTAGGTCACATATTCTGATTAACCCTAGCTTGTATGCTTTTCTATATGTTACATACTCCACACTGTCCCAGTATGTAGGTCACATACTCCTTTCCGATTTATATACTGTGCTAAATGTCACATTCTATAAGATCACTCCAGCCTGTACATTGTGCTGTCCTCCATATAATAAAAAATGTACCCCTGTTTGTCACATACTGTGCTGGACTCTACTCTGTTCTCTGTGCTTCACAGCACATATTGTGTACCAGGGGCGGACTGACAATTCATGGGGTCCCCAAGCAATAGGGGATCATGGGGCCCCTGTGTCCTTGCCCACACTCAAAGCACACCCAAAAAAGCCTAGAAAAGGTACCAGGGGCATTTCATGGGGCCCCCTATTGACCCCGGGCCCTCGGGCAGTGCCCGAGAGCTTGAATGGTCAGTCCGCCCGTGCTGTGTACTGCCCAATTCTGTACATCCTGCTGCACAACACCTACCACTGTCAACCCAGTCTGTGTTGTAGAATGCATACTCCAGACCTCCAAACCTGTACCATGTTCTAAATGCTACATAAAATGCACTGCCCCAACTGTCTGTAAACTATGCTGCCCCAGGAGATGCCCCCGGTAGCTTTTCATAGGCTTTTTTGGGTGTGGTTTGAGTGTGGGCAAGGACACAGGGGCCCCATGATCCCCTGTTGCCCGGGGGCCCCATGAGTTGTCAGTCCACCCCTGCTCCAGTCTCTACATTCTGCCTTTGCCACCTATTCAAGACTGCCCCAGTCTGTATGGTGTGCTGTAGGTCACATACTCTGATTAACTCTAGCTTGTATACTTTGCTATATGTAACATACTCCAAACTGTCCCAGTATGTAAGTCACATACTCCTTTCCAGTTTATATACTGTGCTAAATGTCACATTCTAAAAGATCACTCCAGTCTGTACACTGTGCTTTCCCCCATATAATACAAATGTACCCCTGTTTGTCAAATACTCTGATGGACTTTACTCTTTACTCTGTGCTTCACAACACATAACGTGTACTGCCCAATTCTGTACATCCTGCTGTACAACACATACCACTTTCAACCCAGTCTGTGTTGTAGGATGCATACTCCAGACCTCCCAACCTGTACCATGTTCTAAATGCTACATAAAATGCACTGCTCCAACTGTCTGTAAACTATGATGCACTTTACATATTCTAGGCATCAACAATCTGTTTACTGTACTGTACATCACCTACTATGGGTCACTCCAGTCTCTACATTCTGCCTTTGCCACCTATTCCAGACTGCCCCAGTTTGTATAGTGTGCTGTAGGTCACATACTCTGATTAACCCTAGCCTGTATGCTTTGCTATATGTTACATACTCTAAACTGTCCCAGCATTGTGCTGTATGTTACATATTCTGGATCATTTTTGGCTTTATGCAATATTGCATGTCATACTCCCAACTGCCCTAGTTTATACACTGGCATATGTCACATAATACAGTCTGCACTAGTCTATATACTAAGCTGTACACCAAATACTCTAGACTGTCCCATTCTGTACACTGTGCTGAATGTTAGATACCTTGTTTCACCTCACACTGTACAATATGCTGTGCTGTATGTCACATACTCCTGATCACACTGCTTCACTGCTCTTTACCCTGTGCTGTATGTTACACACTCCAGACTGCCCTGTTCTGTAAAATGTGCTGAATAGTACAAACTCTGGACTGTGCAATTTTGTATGATGTATATGATAGGTTATGATACCTCATTATTATTATTATTATAATACAGGATTTATATAGCACCAACAGTTTGCGCAGTGCTTTACTCATACTACATTTCATCATAGTATTTCCCTTTAAATGCACAGAAATCAGTTTGAATGCTAGCAACATTTTAGGACTTTGAATTTCCACCCCTTTCAGCCAACAGGAACACTTCTTCTAATCATATGTTTAAAGTCAGAAGTTAAAAATCTTTGGCTGCTATGGCTGAACACTGTACTTTCCTGTCTCCAGTTTAAAAAAAAAAAAAAAACACAAAGCAGTCTTTTGTGTTTTACTTTTACAGCAAATAGCAAAATAATTACACAGCGATAAATACAAAATGTCATATGGAGTTCTTGGGACATGCACAGAATACACATCGTGCTTGAATAATAATATTATTATGCCATGTTAAATTGTTGTGTTCATCTGCTCTCCAGGATATGGAAGAGGATTATGAACAGAACTATGCATAGACTGTCACATTCAGATTCTTGTTGGCTGTAGCTGCTTATGTTCCTATGAAGATCGATGCTCCATTTTGATTTGTATATAAAAATGGTATATAGAGCAAAAACTATAACATGTCCATACATGTTACAATAGAAGTGTATTATGTCCTTTAGACTTGCCAACAACGATAAAAGGTTCACCCACATTGAAGGTTATTTACTAAAACTGGAGAGTTCAAAATCTAGTGCAGCTCTGCATAGAGACCAATCAGTTTCCTGGTTTTAATGTCAAAGCTTAAAGTGGTTCTAAAGCCTCCATTTTTTTTTTTTACCTTAATACATTCTATGCATTAAAGTGTTACTAAACCCAGGACCCTGCATTCACTATATCTGGTCTCCCACAGTACACAGAACATGGAAATGCATTTTTTTTTTTTAATAAATATAAACTGCTAAATACCTTTTCTCATCAGCAGTTAGAGCAGTCTTGTGACTTCTATCAGTGTTCAGCAGAGCACATGTTAAAGCTTGTAGGAGGAGTTTTCACTTTGCTCTAGGAGGATGCAGAACCCCTGACCTCTGTCTGGACAGTACTGATTGGCCCTATGCTGATCACATGCACTCTCACAAGAAAAAGAAAACCTCTCTAGCAATACACGCCAAACTGAGCATGTGCAGAGTGTCCCCACATGATATGTCTTATCAGGAGATAAGGGGGGCACTGGAAGAAGAGGAGGATCTGAGAAGTCAGGATCAAACAGCCTTTTTACACAATGCAGAGGATTAACCCCTTAGGTTCCACAGTGAGTATAACAAGCATGCTTTACTGCATATACAGACCAGGGGCGGACTGACCATTTGGAAACTCGGGCCCTGCCCGAGGGCCCGAGGTCAGCAGGGGGCCACATGAGATGCCCCTGGTACCTTTTTCATAGGCTTTTTTGAGTTTGGGCAAGGACACAGGGGCCCCATGATCCCCTATTGCCCGGGGGACCCATGAGTTGTCAGTCCGCCCCTGATACAGACTGCTTTTTATGTTTGGGTTTAGTAACACTTTAAGGTAAAAAACCTTCTCTGCTGCAGGATCCCCCCAGCTCCCCCTTACTCTTACCTGAGCCCAAACTGAATCAGCAACCTGCATGACAGCAGCAGCTCTTGTCTCCCACCACATTGGGCGGATTGATAGCAGTGGTAGCTGTTGCTTCGTGCTCCTGTCAATCACCTCCAGTGAGGAGGGAGGAGAGGCCAAGTCCCACTGTCTGTGTCAAATGAAGCAACAGCAGGGCTCAGGAATGAGCAGGCATGAGTGCCCCCATGGGAAGCAACTTTACGTGGGGGCACTGGATAGAGGGGAGGAGACAGGAGCTCCGGCAGGGGACCCGAGAAGAGGAGGTTGGGGGCTGCTCTGTGCAATTCCATTGCACAGAGCAAGTAAGAATAGAGATGTTTGTTTGTTTTTTGTTTTGTTTTTTTCCTTTACAATCCTTTTAATTGAACAAGCTGAAGTTAGAAGCTGATTGGCTACCATGCACATTTGCACCAGTTTCTGAGTGCACCAGTTTTACTAAATTTCCCCTGATATATTTAATTTATAACTAAACAGGTTCACACACCATGCAGATATTGTTAAATAAAAAGGAGTTTCTATAATCAAACTGGAATGTATAGCCATTGCAGCTTTTTTAAAATATGTTTGACTTTTGATAGACTACAAAGACTTTTGTTTTCATCTTGCTGTTCTTAGTTTGCTATGCATAGCACAGGGGGTTGATTTAGTAAAGGTGAATAGACCTTGCACTTTGGAAGTGCAGTTGCACTCTGCAAGAGCATTTGCTCCAGAGTTTAGTAAATGAGATGAAGCTTCACTTTGCAAAGAATACCCAATCACATGGAAGAAAAATAAAAAAAAAACAGCATTTTTGCTTGCACATGACTGGATGATAAAAGTCAGCAAAGCTTCTATTCATTTACTTAGCTCTGGAGCAAGCACCCCTACAGAGCACAACTGCACTTGCAAAGTGCACAGTCTATCTGCCTTTAGTACTTCAAACAGTATGTGTCAGTAATTAGATAGCTTTGCCATGCGGGCCAGAAAGTGTGAGCATGGCTAGCTGGGTGGGGAATCACCCCAGAAACAATAAAACACCAGTAGGAAGGTGGCACCCCCCCCCCTCCTCGTGCTAATACCTATTATCCACAGCTGTAATGGTGAGGAAGGGATGGCAGATTACTTGAATAATGAAATACGCAGCTCTCTCTAGTGGATGATCCAGAAATTTCAATCTCTCCCTCTCTATGTATATAAATATATATATATATATATATATATATATACACAGTATTTATGATTTCAAGGTAAGTGTTGAATTAACAATTCAACATTTGTGTTCACTAAAAATATATTATGTTTTCAATTTTATTGTTGCTGTCAGCCATTGCATTGTGGTGTATTTTTTTCAATATTTGTCATCATATTTGTTTATATTTGCATTCCAAATAAGAAATTATATTAGCAGATGGTAATTTCTAATTGCAGGGAATAAATTCCAATAGTGTGTTGAATACAAAAAGAACAAGACAGGAGATGTAAAAGAAAGGAGATGAGCACAAAGAAAGACATTTTGGAAACAACTTTAAAACAAGAAAATGCTTTCCGGGCAAAACAAAGCAGAAAAAAAAATTCTCAAATGGAAAAAAAATGTTCTCAGTGAAATGAAAGCATATGTATCTGAAAAGGTGATACAATCCAACTGAAAGGGAAGAAATAGATATGTCTCTGAAAGGGAAAACAACATATTCAAAAAGGAAGGCACAGAAACAAGTATACCTAAAGATGTAAGAAAAAAGATGTGGACAAAGCTGAACTCAAGGATAAAAAAATACCCTTGCAGTGGTGTGCCCCCACACCAGGACCACTGATAAGGCAGTACAGCCAACCCTCCTGTACAGGGCCCAGGCCCCATCCGTTCACAAGGGCCTGGGAACCTGCCAAGCAGGTGTGCTGGCTGTACTGCCTTATTACTGACACCAATCCTCTTGTGCCTCCCCGCACAGTGCTACCAGTTTCTTTGCCTCTTTCACCCTCTGGCTGCACTGCAGGGGGATTGATTCTAGTATGTGAGCCCCCATCACCCCTAAGGGGATGCAGCAGCTATAGAACACAGCCACAGGTTCTAATTTGGCAGGTGTGGGCGAGTGGCCCTGAATGCACATTGTCTTTGTTCAGGGCCGCACACCCGCACCTACAACTGTCAAACTAGGACCTGCGGCTGTGTTCATACAGCTTCTTCTTCCCCATAGAGTAACATAGGCTGCTTGCACACAGGCAGCTCCAGCCACATAAACAAACTAATGATTCACAATATACAGGCCACAGCGCCCATGTGAATGAGCCCAATACTTCATGCACACACAGAGCTTAAGCAGGAATTTTGTTGTGTTTGTGTCCCCTAATAATGATTTTAGTGTATTTTTGGAGAAAAATTATTTTTATTTTTTTGGGGGGGAGCTTGTTTTTTTTTTGTTTTATTAAGGGGTATTGAACTTGGATGAAGTTGAGGGGTGTTTAGAATGCCCAAGGGAACTGTGAACTGTGAGGATAACTCCTTAGCAACTATGTACAAGTCCATAGACAAAAGAGGTTTCTTTTTGAAGCGCTATCCAGCCCTCCTGGTGTAGAACCTCAGACCCCAGGTGAATCCTCCTCCTCACCCAGCTACCTAAGGGACCTGGGCAAGGGGACCCAGAAGCTGCCACTTTAATAAAGTAGTCCCAGATGAGGAGCTAGTTGGGATCTCCACCTGACTTCCTTCCTTCCCCTTATCTGACCCATGGAGTGTAGGATTACTCACTCTGCCTCTTCTGTAAACATGGTTTGATGGCTGCCAGGCCCTACACTGGGCTGGCTTCTTCCCTACTTTTCAGGTTGCCCTCTCTCAGGGGGCAGTTAAAGTAGACAGATCTTCCTGTTCAGCACCTGCCTGTAAGTAGGCCCCTCTCTTGGCCCCTTCCCAGGCTATGCTCTCCAGCCTCTCACTCCATCTTCCACCTGACACTGACCACCTCTTGAACAGGCTCTTCCATACTCAAGGGCTGCCTGACCCCATGCCAAGCCTCCTGCTTGGGGATTCGTCAAACTCCCCTGAGTATGCAGATCAGCCCCTTCTCACCCCTACCCATTGCCTTCTAGAAACTTCTCAAGCTTCTAGATCAGGAGGAGGTATCAGGGAACTGACCTGCAGAGCCATCAACCCTGAGCTAAAGTTACCTGGCACACTCATCCCAGGCTGACCCATACCAGGCTACTATTCAGCCACTAACTAACCTAGCTAACTCCCCCTGACTAACTAGAGGGGCACTAAATAAGTATTACAGTTTATTACGCTACACATTAACTCAACGAGCATATACACCAATTGGATCCCAAGTTTTTGTGAAAGCTCAATTGAACAAGCTAGAGGGGATTATTTACTAAAATTAGAGAGTGAAAAATCTGGTACAGCTCTGCCTAGAAAACAGGTTTTATTGTCAAAGCTTAATTGAACAAACTGAGTTTAGAAGCTGATTGGCTACCATGCACAACTGCACAAGATTCTGAGTGCACAAGTTTTAGTAAATCCACCCCAAAGTTAGAAGCTGATTGGCTACCGAGCACAGCTGCACCAGATGTTGCACTCTCCAGTTTTAGTATCTCAACCCCATAGTGTTTCAAAGAAGTTATATTCTGCTGATGTGAAATGTACTGTGACTGAAAATACACTGGACCTTGCCATTGTGAATTAATCACTTCAAGTTCGGACACTTTTACCCCCTTCCTGTCCAGGCCAATTTTCAGCTTTCAGTGCTATCACAGTTTGAACGACAATTGCACGGTCATGCAACCCTGTACTCATATGAGTTTTTTAGATTTTTTTTGAGACAGATTAAACTTTATTTTGGTGGTATTTATTCACCACTGGGATTTTTTTTTTTTGCTATATAAATGAAAAAGTCCAAAAATTCAATAAAAAGTTTTTTTGTAAATAAATAATCTTTCTTCATAAATTTATTCAGTTATCTTTTTAGTAAAAAATAAATAACCCAAATTAGGTTACAATCAAAAATTTAAATTTTTCAAACCAAACTTTTTTTTTTTATATATTTTATTTTTTTATATTATTATTTATGAGTTTTTTTTTTTAAAACATACTGTCACCCTAGCAGTACAGTGTCACCATAGTGACACTGTACTACTTGTGGGGGGTGATGAATTTTTTTTTTTGTTTACATTGAGTGCTTTTATACCCATAAAGGCTGTAAAATCAATAATTTCTCCTCTCTGACTGCATTCTTGCAGCCATTGAGAAATAACTGTGAGAGCTGTGATTGGTCACAGCTTGTCACATGGTACAAGGCTGTTGTGAATAGTCTTGTAAAGCGAGAAAGAAAACGAGAAGCGCACCAGCCTAGCGCATTACCTCAGTAACCAAAATTTATTAATTAGAAAATGATACCCACAAACAGCTAATAAAATCAGGCATGTAAGTCCTCAGAGGGACTTGAAAGATAAGGAGCCAGCGCGAATCCCATCATGGGGGTAGATACTCAGTACATAGAATATAAAAGTTGATGCAGCGCTAGAGATTCTAATACCTAAACAAAATACAACATAAAATATATAAATATATATAGATGTATATAGATGACCCAAATCAACAGGGGAATACACCGGGAACAATGACCCTCAATGGACAAATAACAGTGGTTAAGTGCAGGATAGCGTGTCCATAGTTCATATATCTAAAGAAGTGCAGGTGAATCACAGCACACTCCAAACGTGATCCCATGCAGTCTAGCTGCAGTGGCCTCTCACCTCCACTCTATGACCCCACAGGGCCACAAAGCATACTGTAAATCACCTCGAGATCCTCCAATTCAGTGACTCTTTAGATAGGATGGCATCACATGAACCAGGACAGTATTCATCCAGACCAGTAGGCAAACGGAAAGCACTCTCCTCCGATGTCACAACCGCTCATAAGCTCATAAATGAGGAGATAAACACAGTCCTCATAGTATATTACCGCTTTAATGGCAAAAAGGCAATATATATCCAGGAAAAGGAGATAATCCACTTAC